GCTTCAGGCCTCTAATCTCCAACTTCGCAACGGCAGCTGACGGCGCGGCCTTCGCAACAGAGTCCATCTTCTCGGCCACATCACTGACCTGAAGCTTCCGGCTCTCGCTCTGCAATGCCCACTTCTCTCTTACACCGAGCTGCCGAAGCCGTGCTTGTCTCCCTTTCGCGCAACTCCTTCTGAGCGATCTTGATGCGATCCAGCTTCCTTTGTGACAGCATCGGAAGACGGTGTTGCCACACACGCTATCGCTGAAAACACTGCATGAATCTTGCACAGCTCCGGCAGTGTATGTACAACGGCTGCGCGGTTGGCCGCATCCTGCCATTGCAACAAGCCGCTTCTGCGCGCTTTTGATACGCGTTTCCACCCTCTCCAGCACCTGCCCACTGAAGCAAGGAACATTGCAAATCCACCGGCCGCGGTTTCCGAAAGAAGCAGGACGGCTTGTTCAAGAACTCTGGGTCAAAACATCTTCCTTGCAGGCAACCTTCTTCATGGGCGTGGAGAACAAGACTTGCTGGTTGCTTCCTGGGGAACAGGCGCTGTTGAAACGAAAGAGCTGACGGACCTCTTCGACTTTAGCATCCAAGGATCGCTTCTGGTCCAGCAGCTTCTGGACTCCCTGAAGGTTCACGGCTGCTTCTGACGCGTGTTTTGCTGCCAGCGCCACCACCTCACAAAGGCTGGTGTCTTGGGGTCCTTCCTGTCGACGAAAACCCACACACCCACACACCCTCACTCTGTTTCACCTCGGCGGTTGGAAGCTCGTGCGTCTCGCCCTTTTTCTTGGCCGGCTTCGATGATTCCTTCTCCTTGGTCTTTGCTTTCCTGGCAGTGGCACAAAACAGCAAAGGCTTGCTGGGCCATCTGCCTTTGAGCTCGCTACAGAAGAGCTCGTGTCCGCCAAGGCTCGCTTTGGGCGTCACAGTCGCTTCTGCGGCAGCTTGACCCGCAGCCAGAGCTGCCTGCTTCGTGGCAGCTTCTGTGGCTATGCCGGTGAGGGGGGAGGGGGATCCCACCTCTGCGAAGTTGAGCAAGGGCACTGCGATCGTCTCTGCGCGCTCAACCTCGACCTCAAGGCAGGTCACATTTTTATGTCGGGGGCGTCAAGGCCCCGGTGCCGTCAAGTGCCGCGGGCCTCTGCAGGCATCAGCTTGGCCTCCATCTCGTCAGAGAGATTCTTGGCCTCCACCTGTGCCTTGAAGGTGTCTTGAGCTGCCAACAAAGGTAGCAGCTTCCTTGGTTCTCACAAAGCTGGCAGAAGCTGGTCTCTGTATCTCTGCAGTTTCGCCACTGCTCTGTCCTTTAAAGGTCGAGCCGCTGGTTTGCTACTCGCAGTTTCTCACTGAATGTGCCCAAGGAGTCTGCGGCCTGCGAAGTTTTTCATATCAATGCTCTGCAAAGACTCAGCGAAGGCAAACTACAACAGGCCTTCAGCCGACCCTGATCACTCTCGAACTGCTTTAGCATGCCCAGCTTCAAGCCAATTGCCTTGGCGCTTCTCTGGCTGGACGGCTTCGTCGTCTATTCTGTATTGTTGCGGCATGCAGTTTTTAAGGCAAAGGCTGCCAGTGCTTCTTTGACCTCACGCGTTCACACGCTACCGCAAGCAAACAATTTCAAAAATGGCCATGGCAACGTCCTACGCTTGTCGTTTATGACCAAGAGACATAGGAATGAACTTGGTGAAACTGTTGGACGAACACGGGTACAGAAGCGCGGGTGGCGCCGTTGATGCACATCGCACTGCTGTCGTCTAAAAATCTAGTTTCACCTGGGCCTCCCCTGCCTTTTGCCGAAGCATCTGGGAGCAAAGCGACAACGACAAATCAGTGATGACACCAAGGCTACGCTGCATTTGTCGAGGCACCGCGGCGGCTGCTTGTTTAGCCGACTCCTTGAACAAACAGCACAACTGTGCCCAAACCCTAAACCCTAAACCCGACATGCGCTCCTCGGTCTGTTCTGCCGCCTTCTGTGCCTCGGCTAAGTCATCGCCAGCCTGGGATATCGAGCACGCGATTGCTGTGTGACGATCCCGCTATGCTTCCCCAGATGGTATCAGGATGGTGCACGGATCTCCAACAGTGTTGCCACCCAGCTGCGTGTTCGATCATGGCCGAGGTGATCTCAGCCTTTTCCACTAAGTCCTGCAACAAGCAATGTTTTCTCAACATCCAGCGCTCAGTTGAAGTGTCATGAGCATGGACCTCTGCTTCATGGAACTTTTCCATGATCGAAGCGAGCATCTCTTTCAAGAGTTTCTCATCCTCGGTTTGGATTCCATGTGGAGCTGGACACTCGAGGATGCCCGGGTAAGCCAAGTTGTTGGCTCGCTGCTCGGAAAGCTTTTCTTGTTGCACCCTCATAACCTAGCACGAACGTTGAGCACGTGCTTTGACCACGATCAGAGCCGAGCAAGATCAGAGGACTTGGCCGTTGGTATGAGAACCTGCGAGGGGACGTCACTACTCCGAACGTCACAGCACAGAAGCAGGCAATTCGGCCTTGATCTTGGTCGCGGCGTCAGTCGCTGCAACGTGCGTCCGTCGGATGCGCGTCCTTGTAGCCGCTTTGAACTTTGCTCTTGCATTGCCATGCATGTCAGCAAAAACCTGCGTGCAGAATCTCAGATCCCAGCTCCACTGCCCGCATGGCATCACCTGCAAACAACGTAACAACAGAGGCTGCGACTCTCCATACATTGATTCGCCTAGGCCAGAAGTCTCCAGCACTTTGAGCTGATCGAGAAGCGCCTGTGTACGTCCATCGAACAAGCATGCAAACATCGGCTGCATGCAATGTTTAATCTGCACATCTCTTCCAACTCTCCACATCCTCTGCGAGCCTGGAGGTGCGGCTTCAGCGCCGCCTGAAGAAACAACGGGTGTGTAGCCTACTGCGGTATGAAACATTCTATTTCGCGTGCACTCTTGAAGACTCTACATGTTCGCGCGTTTGGCAGCTCAGCGTGACACAACCAGGATACGTTACCCAAGCAGTGTCGGCACTCTGGGCACAACCGCCCCGCCCAGCATCTGCCTCCGTCTCTTTGAGAAGTGTTGGGTCAAGGCCTCACAGCCACTGCAGATGCCCAAAGCTGTTCTCAAAAGACGTCGAAGGTACTATTCACGCAGCAACCGGGCACCCGGCTGCCATGATCCCGCTCGCAGGTGGCTTCTTGGTCGTGCGGTGCTCTGTATTCGAAAAATAGCGACCAAAGCGGCGCTGAGCCCGCAGCTTGCTTCCTCGGCTACTTTCTTTGCTGCATTGATGACATGGGTCGCCTCCTGCTCCAGAACCTGTCTTGTGAGAAGAAGCGGACCTAACATCAGCGGGAGATTTCCTGCCTTGGCACGACCGACGCGTTCTGAGCTTTCTCGCTTGACTTTGTCTGTCCTGTCCGTTGGTTGTCGCATCTTCAGAAAGCCTAAGTCCAAATAGATTCACAAAATTGCCCGCGAGGCTAGCTTGACAATCTGCGGTGATGCTCCTCCAAAGTTTACCCCGGCCGACCAGCAACCATTTGCAAAAAACGTTTGCTACAGACTGCTGCTCTCCGTGGTCTTTCATAATTTCTGTGGTACGCCCACACCCGGACCTTGGCATCATCAAGAAGGTGTTGCGTGGTGACCTCAGCGGAGTTGCCACAGAAAGTCAACCGTGCTACCGAAACCTCACGGGTGCGGCCTGCCGGCAGCCTTTAAATAAATATACAAATTATGTGTGTATGTGTGTGTATATATCTATATATATGTATATATATATACATCACGATCCACCTCCGTCTTTCTTCGATATGTAAAACACATAGAAACCACCGTAAATACCGATGACTTTGCTGTTATCAGAAACTCGCAAATCAACCCAAAACTGTGTCACAAAATCGGTGGTTCGGAGCATAACGAGGCAAACTTCAAACAAGGCGCAACCGCAACAAACGAATTGTGTATACCCAAGACTGTGCCACGGGATTCGACTGAATTGTGCTTATATTTGAGCCTGCTGACGGACTAGCATAAGAAATCATCAACTGTTACGGAAGTCAAAAAACACAAAAAAAATACAGAATCTTTGGATTCGCAATTTTTTAAAAATCTTTTTGGATTTCCATGGGTTTTTTAGATTTTTTTGGAAAAAAAACCCTAGGAAATGTTTGGAATTTTCCTGGTGTCGCTGGACAAAATCATTATGTTCTCTAGGGTTTTTGGGTTTTGTAGCGAAATCCAAAAATTAGAAAAATTTGAATTTTGTTGGTGTCGCCGGTCGAAATCGTTGTATTCACTAGGATTTTTTGGATTTCATTACAAAATCCAAAAAACCTAGAGAATTTTGACCAGCGACACCAGCAAAATCCAAATGTTTCCTGGGGCTTTTTTGGATTCTACCCAAAAAATCAAAAAAAAGGAAATCCAAAAAGTCCAAAAAAATTGCGAATCCAAAGATTCTGTAAAAATCTTTGGATTTTTGGATTTGCCAGTGTCTCAGCTATTCGCACTGTTTGTATAAATCTATGTTTCAATCCTGAGGTTTTGAACATAAATTTCATAAACGGAGCGCTTGTGGGCGCTCCTCACAGGCTCACACCAAGGACGCGAACTTCCGCTCGGAGGTGGGGATATGGTCCCTGATCCGCACTTTGATTTTAACAGGTGAGGAAGACCCTGTAGCAAACAAACTGGACCCTCCTCCAATTGTGATGTTCCAACAGAACCTATATTCTGGATACATGGATGTGATGGTGTGTGTTTATGATATGTGTCAAAAAGCCGTCGGTTTTCATGTGGAGTTTGTGATTACCAATTGTTATTCAGCTTTTGTATCTTTAATAACCACCGATCTCGACTCCGAGTACCTTCTACAGCGCATGCAGTTTCAACAGCATCTCCTTGCAGCTTGCAAAGTTCGAGAGAGCACACAAAGAAAGGATTTATCCAACGTTATTTTTGGTGAAAAAATATTCGGGGCTTGGCGGTTAATTTAGGAATGATAGAAAATTGAGACTACAGCGCAGTGTATATTTCTGAAATATGGTAAAATACCCGCCTTCCATCCGCTGATAAGCCACTATCTCGCACGCAAACATTGTTCGCAATAGATTTATTTGTTCTTCGGCTTTGTAAATTTAAGACCAGCTATGTATTGAAAAAAACATTTACTGAAAAGTTGCACGAGCTTAACTACCCTTTAAAATTTTGTTCAATTAACAATATAGCAAATGTAACGAGAATTTATAGTAGCTAGTCAGTTCGCAACTCAATCTGCTAGCCATTGACAACGTGCCTTTTACTAAGGAAATAACAATAGACTGCGATTACAGTATTCGTTAAATACTGAGTCATAACATGTCAACTGCATGACCAGCAAGCGAGCACAGCGCATATAAATGAAACACCTGCAAGAAGGAAACAAATATTCGGTGTAATATCACTGAAATATTAACTGACTTGAACTACACAGTAACCGCAGACCGGCGAGGAAGCATTTAAGCACTATTAAATATGTGTAAAAATTATTTACATGCACAATATCTATCAGTTGTTGATATTGTCGTTTACTTATGGGCTATCTTCTAAATATTTCTTGAATATCCATAACGCGTTAGATATGTGTGAAATCATGAGATATTGGTCGAATAGTTCATATCCCATGCCAGGCGATATCAATAGTTC